AGAAGGACTTGGACCCTAACTTACCCGATCGACTACCCCTTACATTTTTCCCGCGTGTGGGCGCTATGTTAGGCGGCACCATGGTCAACTTCACCGGCCCCTGTCTACAGCCTACGAGTATAATAACGTGTCAATTTGACAACTGGCAAACACCAGGCATATACAGGGACTTCAATCACGCGACCTGTGTCACACCCCCCGTAATGTACCACGGTTATGTCGACTTGACCATTACCGTAGATGATAGGACCCTGTTCCTGGGCAGATATTACAAACGTATGGCGTTTTTTGGGTTATTTCTATAGGGATTTTGACTAACATTGTATACTACCTGTGCCACAGAGCCCCCGGACATCGCCGACCACGACATCGTGGTCTTAGAAAACGCCGACCGACTGGAAGAGCCGCTGAGTCTGGATATCAAGTGGAATATGAAGTGGCATAAACTGGGTTGGGATGAGAATGCCCGGGTGACCCTGTCGTTGTGGGGGTACAGGGAGACTGGAGGTGTATACCCGCACCTCACGTACATCGACACGTTAGGAGACCCCGGTTCGCTACGGTTGGGTCAATTGCGGACATCCATCGACCCTAACCTCTACAGAGACCGCAACTACACGACGAGTGATATTACGTTCGGCTTCATTGCCATCAACTTAACTGATCCGACAATTCTGGGCAAAGACATGAAACATTCGCCCACCATATGGTCGCGCCCTATGCCGCTGGCCTGGTATTTCAAGACACAGTGGGAACGGGAGTACGGAAACAACGGGCGCTGGAAAGAGCACTTCTGTCACGACTGGTTCCAACAGGAGTCGTACGTCCAGGAGGTGTCCCGGTGTCCCTGTACTCTACAACAGGCCGAGCTGGACAGGGGTCGCTTCTCGCCCGACCTCGAGTGCAACGTCATTGACCGCAAGTGCGATACTTTCCACAGAGGGGCCCAACACTGCCTCAGGACTGGACGGCCGTCGTTAGTATATGCAGTCATGCAGAATGACTTTCAGACAAAACTAATTGAAAATCTCTTTAAACCGTTAGAATCAGTGGTTCCGGACAGACCTGTTGTTACGACGATTACGGCGAGCTTTTACAGACCGCTGACACTATGTATGGCGGCAGACCCTCCCGGGCCTATATTTATGGCAAACATCCCTTTACGCTGCCAATGATGGTATGTTATATTTATATACATATTTATATCGACTATGAGTAACCGCAACCTCCCTGTCCACCACAGATCCCAGCGCTGTCTGAATGGTTTCACGACACAATGCCCTTCTTCTTCTGCTGCAAATGGCAGGCCAAGGGGGACAACGCGGACACGTGTCAGATGTATAACCACTGGCGCACATCGCAAGACTGCTCCTCATACCAGGCGCCGGCCATCGGCTCCGTGTACGGCGACCCACACTTCCTAACCTTTGACCGATACAACTACACGATCAACGTTAAAGGGGAGTACACTCTGGTGCACGTGGACAACGCCATTCACAAACTAGGTAGGTCGTTCCCCACTCAAACACTGTGCAAGTCTAAACCATATCTCTACACCAGTCAATTTGTATACTAATCGAATGTCTCAACCATTTGTCTACCCCTACCCCGTATGCAGACGTCCAGGCCCGTTTTGAGCAGGTGCCCCGTAATAGGCCGACTGACCCCCCGCTCAACGCCACCGCACTGATGGCAGTGGTCGCGCGCGACAAGATTTCCTCTATTGTGGAGTTCCGGTTGAGACCGGTAGCCGCCCGTTGGCGGTACCAAATGTATGTCATTGTGGACAAGGAGTACGTGTTCTGGGGGGACGAGTCCATGAGATTGCAGAACTTCAAGGGCGTGACCCTCTACCAGCCCGCGGGCATACAGAATATGTCGCACGTGATCGCTATGTTTGATTCCG